ATTATGATGAGAGTAATTACAATAACATTAATAATTAATACCTTTTTCAGGGAGAACAATGATTATCTGCTTTAGTGAAAAGAAACAAAAAAAAAATTCACCAGCCCAAAAATGGAAGACTTGTAACGTCTCGTCTCAACTGCTTGCGGAAGAGGTCAGTTCCTCCCCGAAGAGCTTATAGGCCTAGGAGACTACACCTTTCTTCGTTAGTTGGTATTTCATGGCGTATCATCGAGGTTGTACCCCCTCCCCGTTCCTCTTCCCTGTCAAAAAAAAAAGAAAAAGAAAAAAAAAAGTTGATATATGACCAATTTTTATGATTTTCTTATTGTTTTTCTTTCCTACTGGAGAAGAGGCGGTTCCTTCGTTGTTGTTGTTGTTGCAGCAGGGTATTCTGAGGTTTATTTTCTAAGGGAGAGGGAGTAGATTTTTTTTTTTCCCCCAGTGTAAAAGTTGATATAGATTTCTCTTTGACTGTAGTTGTTAGAGGATCATTCCAGATATATATATATGTTGAAATGGTTAGTTTTAGTTGAGAGTGAGGTTTGCATTATTATTTAATGACAGAGACAAAATAGTATGCCAAACCTAATTTATGTGGAATATGTGAAAAGAAGAAGGAAAAAAAAACAACAACAACAACAATATTCTGTGATAATAGTTGCAGTGTTATGTGTTAGGATAATATTTGGGAAAATCTGATGAAATAGTAATATCCTTAGTTTTCAAATTTCATACCTGTCTTAGCTATCATTTGTCTGGAGTATTCTTTAAACTTGTGTATGGTAATGTTTTGAATATATTCCTGCTATGGTTTCATTTGCTGTTATGATGGTTGCCGTGTAACAGTTTGAAAAAGAAAAACGAAGACAAAAATTTTAAGAACAGGCAATTTATAGTGAGGCAATGCAGCAGCTGGAATTATGTATTTATTGTATTATTTATTTATGTATATACAGTAAACCCTCATTTTGCCATATTTTTCATAAATAAAACAAATTAATAGATAGCATACTATTAAGATACAACTATAACAGATTAATAGGTATTGAGAACTACTCAGCGCAGAGCCAGGAAGAGTGAATTGAGTGCATATGTTACTGTGCCGAGCTCAGCACTGGTGTTACCCTTCCAAATCTCATGTATGTCTGATATTGGCTCTGACTGTGGCTAGTCTTGTAGGTTTTCTCTGTGTTTTAGGGCTTTTGTGCTTGTTTGCTAACCTAGGGCCAAAGTGTAGTGCTTGTGATGCAAGGTTGCAATCTTCCTAAGTGGCAGCAGAAAGTGATGGCCCAAATGGATAAAGAAAATGTGTAATAGTGTCTACTGCTGCTTGTACATTTAATGTGAAGGAATCAGCTGCATGAATTGTCAGCAAAGGAAAAATGTGGGATATATGAGGCAATTCAAGCTAGTCTGCTTGCCACTGCAAAAGTGTTGAATCATGTGAAAGGAAAATGCAATCTTGGAAAATTTGCTCTTGAATATCTATTACCGTTTCCCATCAATTGCAGGGGTTCTGGAATGTAACCACAAAGCAAAATATGGATTTACTGTATTGTTCTCATATTTATATATTTATTTATCTTGCGCATCTGTTAATGGTTCTGCATTGAGGTATTTTGTTATCTCTGGTAACATGGCTGTGACTAAAAGCTTGTGTTAAGATTGGGCACTGAGAACTATGTATTGTCCAAGTGTTGCTGGTATGTGATGTTAATTTTCAGTTCCTTAGTGAAAAAAAATATTTTGTTATATGTTTTATTCTGTCTAACTCTTTCTATATTCTTTGGATGGTTCTGAGGAAATGCATCTGTTTTGTGTCATCTTTAGTTCTTATGAAACAAGAATCACACATTTTAAGTCTTTCATAGAGGTACAAGGCACATTTTTCTCTGCATACTTTTTGAAAAATTGTAATCATCTTGTATGGATATATAGTACTAATGTTCTTTTTATTCTTTACGTTTTGTCCTAGAAGTTTGAATATATAAAATAACAGGTATAATAATGCTTGGGTTCTTGCTCAAGTCAGTCTAGATGTGTGAGGCTTTATATGGAAATCAAATACCTTCTTTGTTGCTAGACAATACTTGTGGTTATGCAAATACATGAAATATGTGTATATTAATGTAATAGGAATGCATGTGTAAATTCACTGAAGTATATACATTGCTGTCATTAGTGAATGCATATGATTATAGACAATATATAACACCGTGAGATTGTTTATTAGGTTTGGAAAATATTTCTCAATTTTTGAACAGACCTAAATTAATATCAAGTAAGAATGAATAAAAAATTTACAACATTAAGACCTGTGTAGATGTTGTTTGTAAAAGATCTGTAGATTTTCAGTATTTGGCAGTTTCTTGCCAGGTAGAAATTTGCATTATCATCGCTCCCAGATATGCGGAATACTCGGTATATATATTTTGATTACTCTTTTAGGGATAGTAATCAAACATTATTCTGAACTTGTTGTGATAAAACCATGGAA